AAAGAACATCCCTGTGTAGCTCAGAGATCTCCTGACATTCACACTTCCCATGCCTCCCATAGAGCATCACATCATGTGCCACTGTGGACCAGTGGCCTGGCCTCTGGGTGTGTCGTCCCCGTCAGCCACAGAGGGGTGTTCTATTTATGAACTCTGCAGTTCCACATCTCCTGTGTCTATCTTATTGCACAGGTACAGCTCAGTTCAGTTGCTTCTGCTGTGATTGGCCCAGACATGGACTGCTAGGCCCTAGGGGAGGAAGAAAGGAGAGGAGACCAGGCTAAGTGAAGAGAGGTTATTGCCCTTCCAGTTCAGACTCTTTTCCTTTCTCTCTACCTGCCCCATCCCCAGTTCAGAAACCTTGGCAAAAATCTTCCCTGGCTGCTCTGGTGTTTCCTTCCCAGCAATTTGCTTTACACACACACACACACACACACACACACACACACACACACAAAAGGTGGGGGAAGTTCTAAATAGAGTGGAACTGAGCACAGAGCAGCATCCACGTGAAGGCTTCTCTCCCTGGAGAGCCCAGCATCCTGCACGGAGGCCATCTACCCCCAGCGCCTCTTACTTAAAGCATTCTTGACCCAGGGAGCACCCAGGCCTGACGGCAGGCACAAAGCTATCACAAGTAGATTTTGCTTCTGCAGCATTTTGCCTGGGCAGGCTCGATCCTCCTCCTCAGGCATCCCAAATGCCTCCTCTGGCCCTCTCTACCTGCATCTATTTTAGAGGCAAGTAGGGGATCCTATTCCCAATAGATTCCAAGCCCCGTTCCAATCCCACAAGACTGCCAATGTAGAGGGAGGGTAGGTGGCTCAGTGAAACCCCCTGCACCTCAATGTGCCCAGATTCTGGGTTTGAGAGTGAAGACCACAATCGCTCTCTTGCCACGTTAGGCTGTTGAATAGTAAGTTTGATTATGTCAGGGTCTCCTGTTGCTCTGAGTGAGGCCCTGGTGCCACACTGGGAGTAGAGTTTAGAGAGTCCCTCATTCTAGAAGACTCCACACAAAGCCCATACCCGCCAGGCACACAGCCTACAGTGCCTTTTTGGCTCCAGGCATAGCTTATGCACAGTGATGTTCATTGCTTCGCTCACACTAGGCATCATCCCAAGGGCATTCGGCCTGTCACTGGGGTGCGATCACCCTCCAGAGTGAGAACCATAATCTTCAGTCCTCTGAAAACTGGGCTCCCACGGGGGAGTGGCTAGCTTCTCTTGCCACCATGGCATCAACTCACAGCCCAAGGCCAAACCTAGGTCAAGTGACACGGTGCGACAGGGCGGCAGCTCTGGAACATCTTCGGGAGGAGGATCTGGAGTACCAGTCTGGAAAGGCAAAGGCAAGCTGAGAAGCTTCTCTGGGGTGTCACCAGGGATAGCTGACCGCGCCCTGCGACCAGCTGCCTTCGGCTGCCTGCACTGAGTAAAATCTTCAGGAATCTCAAGCCAAACCGATTCCATGACTCTGGAATGAGTCAGGGCCACTTCTTTGCCACCTCTCTGACTTCAACACGTTAACTGTGTCAATTCCAACCATCAAAGGCAAGAAATTTAGAAAGCGAAATTAACATTAAATGGAAAATGGGAATTACTAATGCCTATCATGGTCAGCGTGGGTGTTCTTTCCTCCTCCCTTCCCCAGCCCAGGAGGAGGAAGTAGGAAGCAGAGGGGCAAGGCATTCCAGGGACAGTTTAAAATATGCAAATAGGGGCACAGACCACAAGGCCCTTGTAAACAAAAGCCACACCTGTTCCGAGGTGGCTTTTGCCTCTCTTCCTCCAGTAACATCTTTCTGAACTAGAAAACAAGCAGCCTCCCTCCACCGTGGTTCCTTCAGGTCTGGTTCAGAGCAAGAAAAACTTAAAATGCTGAAACAAGGTCTTTTAGTCCCCTCTGGATGAACTGTTTTTCAATAAGCTACCTGCTGGGGTCAGGAAACGTGAGATCAGTGGGTTTCAGCTCACACAGAAACCCATGCCGTGGAGTCACCCCAGAGAGCCCACGGGAGAGGTGTCACCCGCACACGACCCTTTGTATCTGCTCCAGCTTTTATTGCAAACTGCCTCCCTCCTCAGCTTTGCCTCCTTCCCGACTTGGTCTCACTCAGCCTGCGCCAAAGGAGCAGGCAGGGTGACATTCGCTCGTCCAGTCAGAGGATGGAGGGGAGGGAAGAGTGGCTCCCCTGGCACCAATAGAAAAAGTATTTTCTTTATAATTAGGTGTGCAATGCTTAAAAGGGGGAGGAATGATCAAAATCAAAATAAATAACTAGTGGAAAGCAGCAGCCCCTCCCTGGGAATGGTAACTGCTCAGGATGAAAGTTTATCCAAACACAGGAGAAAAATGAGTGGTGTCTGAGGGGAGGGAAGGGAGTGCTCCTTTACTGGAAAGGAAATTTGTTTATGACATTTTATTTGCTCCTTATTTTTTAATGCTCTCTTGGCCCCATGTCTTGTAAACAGACCAGCTTTTCCATTCTCTCGCAGTGCCAGGAGAGCCAAAGACAGAACAGGCTGCACCGGTGCCAGAACCCAGGGCCACAGAGGTCTCCCAGTCTCGAGGGCCCACGCCTGGGCCAGGGGGATCTGCAGTACTGGAGGAACGAGGTGATGGTGAAATGCGGGTGTGGGACAGGCTTGTGGGCTCCCTCAAAGCTTGGAAGTCAGCTCTGTTCCCTCCCAGAGGCCAGCAAGGGCTTCAGGTTCCCGACGTATATGTCCGAGAGTACTGACCTATTTTGCAGGGTCTCCTTAGGTTGTAGATGAAATGATAGATTCTAGAGAGAACCTGGCCTTTGGGAGAAAAGGCCAGATGATATCACAGTCAAAGGTGACAAAGGTAGAGAGGAGGGAGCCCAGGAGGGAGTCACAGTGCTGAGACCCTGGTCCATAACTCAGCTCTACTCGCAATAGTGGAAAAAAGTCACTACAGCTGGAGTCCAGAGGCCACTGTTTACAGTGAAAACATAGATGCCATGCAGAGGTTCCTACCTGGATTCTTCCACCATCCAAGCACAGAGACCATGGGAGTCCAGGTGACAGCAGATGGCCTTTTGTGGCTGCACATTGTCTACTCTGAGCACCTCTCATCTGAGACCCCCAAATCCAAGGTTTTCTGAGTGCTGACATGACACTGAAAGTGGAAAATTCCACACCAACCTAATCACAAGTCACAGTCAAAATACAAACCCATCAAAAACAGTGTATACATTACCTTCAGGATATGCACATAAGGTGTATAGGAAACGTAAATGAATTTCATGCTTAGACTTTGGTCCCGTTCCCAAGATATCTAATTTTTATATGGGAATATTCCAAAATTGGAGGGGAAAAAAATCCAAGTCTAAAATACTTCTGGTCTCAAGTGTTTTGGAAAAAGACACTCAATCTGGAGAAAGCTGAGAGGTCACCTTGACTAAACGCTGTGTCTTCTGGCTCTGTTTTAAGAGCCACACTCACAATAAGATGTAAACCTTGCAATGACCCCAGGAAGCAGGGCAAAGTAAATTGAGGTATGGAGACACCAAGTTACTCACATGAGGTCACGCTGCCAGAGGTCACGGGTTGGATCAGGCCAGCAGTGTCCAGTGCAGGAGCTTGTCTTTGCCCCACCCTTCCTGTCTCATTTTAAGACTCTACCTGCACAGGAGGCCTAACACTTCTGATATTCCCAGTGGAAATACTATAAACCTACTCTGCATGTGACCTGTGACAATGGGGCCTTCTGGAGCCAGCACTCATGAGCCTGGATCCCTACCATGATGAACCCAATTGTCCCCCTCCTCATCCCTGTAGTCACCAATGTTAATGCCTCACCCCCTTCCGCAGAGCTGGACATTTATCAGCTCTCCTCCATCCAGGTGGGGGCCTCACAACCAGTCCCCACCAACAGATTGAGCAGAAGTGACGGGTGGGCCCCCATCATGGACCCCTCCCCTACTTGTGTTGCAAGAGGAAAAAGCGGCAGCATCCTGAGACTGGAGGCCAGGCCCCAGAATTTCTCCATGAAAAACAAACCTTCATCCCCACCACTGACAACTTACATTCACTCAAGTGTGGAAATGAGAAACTCGGGGGGAATGAGACTTGGGGTACCTGTAAGTTACTGTGGCTAACATGGTGATGGTCATAACCGAGAGGAAAAGTGAGATTGTACTCAGGGACAGGGGCTCTGCAGTGCACGCTTCACAGAGAGTCATCGCATCTGCCTCAGCCTAGCTTCCTCATGTTAAGAACAAGCTCTTAACATCTCCTCACACCATCAAAAGACTCAAGAGAAAAGCTTTAAGGAGAGCTCTAAAGTGAAAATCCTCAGATAGGACTTCATTAGCCCCTGAACTCCTGACTTTTCTTGGGTAAATGTTCTATTATTTCTTTCCTGTCTGAGACCATGCCTCTGCTCATGGTCCACTGAGGCCATTCTCTTTGTCCTGGCTCTCATTTTCAACTTAGATGAGGTAAGAAGAGAGAACTTTCGGTGTTTCTTTCTCCAACACATAGCAAAGCTCTTCCCTTACAGCCTCCTCCATGGGTAGGAACCATGTAGCAGGGAGGCACCTCTGATCCCCCAAGTGATATGTGCTCTTGGATCCAGGCACAGGCCAGCGGCAATGATCTACCCAGTGACAGTGACTGCTATGCCCATGACCTGCTGGGAAAGTTCACATTTGGGTAAAACACAGGTGAAACAATCCACCCAGATCCTCCGGTGATTCTAACCACAAGTTCACGTGGCAAGTGTGATTGATGGTTTCACATGTGCTGCCCTTGTCTAACCAGACTGCAGTGCCTCAGATGTGGTGGGGTGTTTTCCTTTTTTCTTTTTTTCCTTTTAGACAAGGTGAAACTCCAGAAGTTTTGATCTGAACTTTTGAATGTACCCTATGTGTCTTTCTCACCTGAAACAGGGAACCTATCTTGCAGTTAACTAGCAAAATCAGACACATGGTATTTTCTACAGGGAATCCAATCAAGGAATCAACAAACCATTTTCTTTGCTGTTCAGACATCACTTTATTAATAGTAGGAAAATGAAAAACAGGCAAATGTAGTGATGCGTAAGTAGATTATACATAGGAAACACAAAGTTAATGTCATTCTAGTTACCACGTAGAGGCCACTGTGCTGTGACTTTACCAGCTGTGAACTTGAGATTCTCAGTGACCCTCCTTCTGAATCCTAACTACCACGTGCAAGACTTAGTGAAGGTAATTGATCCCCCTAAGTTTCTGTACACTGATGAGGCCACGAGGTGAGTGGTTCCACTCCACTCCACACTCCCACCAGGATGTGCTGCCCTCCACCAGTGGCCTAAACCACTAGGTCTGTCAGCTCATGGACTGGAACTTCTGATGCTGTGTGCAGTAATCACACTTTCACCTTATAAACTGGTTATCTCGGGTATCTCTCATAGCAACAGAAAGTGGATACATTGCATTTCATGAAGACTCATTCCTGGAATTAGGGAGGAACCCTCTTAATTAAACAGCTCCACAACATCCCCAACTCTTGACTGCTTGAGTACCAGGTGGAGAACTGGGATGTCCTGGGAAGACTAGTAAGATGCACTTTCCATGGCCAGTCACCATGGATGGACCTAGAAAGGGCACTCGGGCTGGCGTGGAGCAGGGTACCCTGCTGTGCTATGGCCACATGGAGCTGGGCACCCAGAAGTACAGCACTGTACAGAACACAGCAGTTTACTCTAGAGACGTTCTGGAGAAGGGTCCCATCTTGGTTCACACTTGTGCACACTCGGGACCCAGACAGACCATCCCAAACCTCTGGGTGACAGTCACTGGTTCCATAGCAAGTCAGAAGGCCTGCTCAGTCCCTCTCAGGCAGCTCATCTCTCAGGATATCTGGCTGCTATCACCTGTCACAGGGAGGTAGGTACAGTCACCCAGGAGGGAGAGGTCACAGCTTAGAAACACTTGTGACCTGCTGATTTCTGATATTTATAATTACACTTATTCTAAGTTTAATGAAAGTCATGGCCTTTGCTTCACAGCCCGGGGCCTAGTGTTCAGTTCTCATCAGGTGCCAAAGGCTCCCCCGAAAAGGACAAGTGCTGGACTCGCTGGCATTGGCAGGTCCAGACCAGCTAGAGCCCCACAGGCAAGGACTTTCATGAGTGGAACAAAGCTTCCAACTCCTCCAAAATCCAGATGTAAGTTACCAGGAAATGTGAGGAGTGAGAGGAAGGGGCAGGTGAAGGAGGAAGGAGATGGAAAACAATTGAAAGAGAAAAGACCTTCAACAGAGCTCGATAACCCCAGTACCTGGACCAGGTGATCGGCGCCTGACGGCATACAAAAGCTAAAAGGCAAGCCTCAGGATGGGTCAGCTCAAGACTTAATATTTGCCTTTCACTAAGCAAACTAATAAATCCCCCATGGTTTGAGCCATGCAGAGCTCCCAGTTTTTTATTTATTGGTCAAAACGGCAGGCAGGTTTTTTCTTTCTTGCCTCTCAGTCACCAAGGGGGGTAAACAGTCCCCCCTTCTCCCTCCTGTCATCAGCTGTGTGTCTATTTGCTTTCTCCCTCAACAAACTCATGTTCAGTGCAACTGACGGCATGTGCAAATACCTTTGAAGTGTCCTCTGGTAATGGACTTCCCCAGATGGGTCTGCTTTGGACTGGTATAATCAAAGGCCAACGCACAGAAGCTACTCTCGGGCAAAGGGTGAGACACCAGCCAGGTCAAGGATGAGAAGGTGACAAAGAGTCTTAGGGGGACATCAGTACCAACTTCTTTTCTTCCATCTCCCATTTTACAGATGAGAAAAACTGAGACCCAGAGAAAGTGTTCTGGTGACTCACACATGACCTTGGAACCAGCTGAAGAAAAAGACTAGTTACCATCCATGAGCTCTCTTCAGGCTTCCCCTGCACCTGCCTGCCTGAAGGCTAGAATGTAAAGCTCTTATCCAAGGTCAAGGGCCTTTCCAAAGTCACCACATGTCCTTTAAACTATGGCCTCTGGCACAGGGGCTGGCTTTCCTATGAAAACCCCCTGTCTCTCTGGCAACACACTCACATTTTCCCAGGCCATCTGATGAGAAGCAGAATGTTCAATGCCACAGAAAGGCTCTATGAGCACCTGACCACTCAGGGTGAGGGTGAAGAGCTGCTGCAAAACTGAGCTGTGGACATACGGAGCTGAGGGAAGACGCATGTGCCTAGTCTGGGGTGGGATAAACTGCACTGTGCCATGAGCAGTGTTTTTGCTTCTCTTCGTATACTTGGTCAGTGCTGAGGCGTGAACCCAGGACCTGAGCACAGAGACACATCCCCAGCCCTTTTGTTTTTATTTTACCAAGTCGCTAAACTGCTCAGGTTCGAACTTAAAATCCTCCGGCTTCAGTGTCGTGGGTATGTAATCACACCCAGCTTTACAACGCTTTTCTAATATGGAATAAATAGTAAATCTTTAAGATGTGAATTCCATAAAAGCTGATGGCATATGCAACAAAGCTACCAGTGGAATGGAGACCAGAGCTGGGAGAGGGTCTCCGGATCCTGTGCCTGACCCCATCATTTTACATGAAAGGGGCTCTTTTCAGAGACAAAAGTGGACATCTTCAGCTCCTCTGGCCTGTACTTTTTACCAGCTCCAGACCCCCACCTGGGTCGAGCAGTAAGATACAGACAGATGTGGGGACAGGGTAAAATGCAGTTCGTTCGAAACTCATTCGTGTCACTTCACAGGCATGCACTGCTCTTTAAATTTCTCCTGTTTCTCCACTAGGATCAATGTCACTCACTCTTCAACCTCATCTCCAACTCTGCCCAGCAGCTGCCTCCTGGGCAGGCTGATCCCATGCCAGGGGCTGGAAAGGGATTCTTGCCTTAGGCAGAATCCACCCAGAGCAGAGTGCTGCTAAGAACCACTTAGGCCTCTGGAGTTCTGGGATTCTATGGAGATGGAAAGAACGGAGCAGGGAGAGACTGTTGCCTTTGGCCCAACAGCAATGATGGCCCTGGAAACAAAGACTGAATGTAAGACACAGATGAAGGGAATAGGTGAAATGAGTCCATCTTTTAAAAGAGAAAATGGCACCCAAGGACCGGGGCTCACGTTCCTCCTGGGGCAGTGAAAGGAGAGTGAGCTGGCTCAGAAGCAAACACCGGGGTACATGGAATCTCCAGAGGAATGAGCACGGTCTCTGGATGCTTCACGCGCCTCTCTACCCTAGCATGTCATTACCTCACTATAGCCATGCCACACAAAATGAGTGGGATTAGCAGAAGACCAGTGTTCCAACGCTGCGGACACTCATGCCCGTCTTCCAGCAGAAAGATGAAGGCTGAATCCCCTGACAAGCAGTGACAACTTCGGGATGCTGTGCGATCCTGAAAACCTGGCTTTTCTAACCTGTAGAAGAACCTGTAATTTGCCTGCTTATTGTTCATACTTGTCACGAACACCAGACATCAGGCTGGCACAGCTCTGCGCCCCCCACCCCTCCACCTCCAAGTTCCGCTCCCTGATCCTAGTGATCTGGAAAGGTAAAAATGAGCTGGGAGGTCCCACTCCACGCTTTCTAAACCAAACTTGAAGGTTATCTAGGAGACTTTAGAAGGAAAGTACACACTTAGCCCCAATTTACACGCCCTTGATATTTTAAATAATTCTAGAGTTCAAAGGAATTTCAGGAAGTCCTCCAGCCAACTCCTACGCTTTCCAGACAATACTACTGCCAAGATTTCAGCTCTTTGTCTCTGTCTAGCAAAGGTTCAGAATTTTATTCTCGATTCATTCTTCATAGCACATGCATACCTGAGAAGTATGTGTGTGCGTGCACGCACATATATGAACATGAACACACACACACACACACACACACACACACACCATGGTCTATTTATTTCCCAGTCTTCTCAGGGACTGTTTGTTGTGTTTCTCATGCTAAAGGTTAATGTCAGTGTTTTAAGTAGGACTATAGTAGCGAGCAATCCCAATACCCCAAATTCTTGCCATGCCTACTGTCTGTCCACATGGTCTCAGAAGGACAAGGTCTCAGTCATTTCATCATACCCAGGTTTTTGTCCAATAACCTGCAGCTTCACTATCCCAGAAACAACTGATATGGTCAGGACTGCAGCCTGGTCCGATGGCATCTATAGGCTATGCAGTGGCTAATGAAGCAAACAGACACTCAGCTCCCAGTGCCAGCTGGCCAAACCAACTAGGTGCACTCCCTGGCAGCAAAAGTAAAACAGAAACAGAAGCGGGTCCTTGAGTTCCCTGGTAGGATGATCAATTATTCCAGTTTGTCCAGGATCGTCCCAGGTTTAGCTCTGAAAGTCCTTTGTCTCCAGAAACTCTAATTCTGGGCATACTGGGACAGTCACTTCCCCAGCCCCAGCTCATTGTAACAGCAGAATCCCAGAGTCAGGCGCACTTAGTCCTGCTGTGGAGAGACCATGATGGCATTATTCTTGCTACCCCTGTATCCCTGGAGACTGCCTATGGCTGCCGAGTATGTCAGATGACTGTGAGCTTTCGGACAGCTGCTGGCACTCTTTCTTGCCTGCCTTGCTTTCACTGTGACTTTGGAATAGACGAGCATTTGCAAAGGTTCCTTAAAACCTAAAGGAACCCAAATACCAAGCCTGGCATCAATTGCGCAGGTCAAAGAAGGCAGAGGAACACCTCTAAACAATCTTTATGCTTCAACAGCACCAACATCTTCGGGAGGTCACTTTGTGAACCTAAGATGCCAAGAATGTCCCATCTCTCTCAGAGAAGACACTGGAGTCACTAAATGGCTACCGAAACATGTCGTCTATAGTGCAGGGACACTTCTGCTCTTTCTACAAAAGCAAATGCCCTTGCCTTTGCAAGTAAGCACGCACAAACATCTCTAACTGTGTTGGACATCACTGGCGCATGACAGATACTTAGGAAGTGTTCTCAACCACACTTGAGTGTGGGTCACAGAGCAAAGGGGACCAAAAAACCGTGAGCAGTAGCCAGGTATATGGGTGACTTCTCAGTCCATACTGAGGCAAAGATCCTCAACCACACGGTCACACCCAGTAGCTGGTTAGTCTGTAACTAAGCACCATGATCCAGTAAGACCCCAGTGCCATCAAAGGGAGAAGGGCTTCACAGCTGACTGTGTCAGAGAAGATGGCTGGAATAAGCAACAGGACCCACTGACCCTCCAGACACACACCTGTGTACGGCACACACTGAACAAATGGGGCACAAAGAAGACGAGTGTCAAGCACCTGCTTTCCTGCCCAGAGCTCCTTTGGGGGCCCTGAGAGCTAGAGGTACACACACACCAGCTCCTGCGTCATTCCGGAACCTGCAGAGCCAGATCCCAATACTCTTCCCATGCCACTTGCAATACACCAACGCCGGCCTCTTTAGAAGGAACAGGAAAACCAAGATCCTGTCTGCCCCAAGTGTGGTTAACTATTCACTCAGTATCCGGCTGAATGATAATGCAGCAAACAGGAGGGATAGCTCTGTGCAAAGGTGCGCAGGTGTGGAGGTGGGGGCAGGTGGGGAGGGTGCAGGGAAGCTGGGGTGCAGGGTTGGGCGGGGGAGACACAGCAGGCAGCTGCAGAGGATGTCTGCCACCAGAAAGAAGGCCCCGCTCTGGGAGGACAAGCTTCATGGGGCACAGCGTCCCCTTTGCTTAACATCTGCTAGCTCAGGTTCACACACACGTAGGTCCTTCAGGAGAGGGGCTTTGCTTTCTATGCAAATGTCTCCACAAGTCCACAAGTTGCCATGTTCTCCAAAATAAAAATCCTTGATTGAATCCAGGGCTCTCGCCTTTCAAGATGGGTCCTGCCCTTGGCCAGGCACTTCAAGGGGTGTTGCTGCTAGCCGTGTGGTGGCTCCCGATGCTTCCCAGTGGCCAAGGGCTGCTGCCACATCCTCTTTCCCTTCCCTGTGGACCAGAACACAGAGTGTGAGTTAGCAATGGCTTTGCATTGAGCATCACGCTTTCCACCTCAGTCCATAATGTTCTACTTAAGGCTATAAATGAACCAAATATTCAAAATGCAATGTTTTAGTTTAAAAAGAAAAGAAGACAGACCTATTTATACTTCCCAAAGAACACTCTGTACACTGACTCATCCTTGGGACCCCGGCACAATTCCACCGCTACACACAGAGCTGACGTTAGCTGCTGTGGCTGTATTCGGCCAGCCCAGGGGAAGTGGAAAATTCTGGTTTTTAGGCTATTGCCACAATACCTGAGAGATATGAGGCTAGCTGGGAGCTGAGATCACATGATTTAAGACAGGGAAACTGAGGCTCACAGTGCACCAGTGTCACTCCAACTCAGGTCCTAAGTCCTTGTGTTTACTGCTTAGACTTCCTCAGCAACTGACTCAGAGTGGACAGTGGACCCTCAGGGAAAAGAGGAAATGGTGGACATGCTTCTCCCTCCCAATGCCGACAGAAAGGGAATTAAGGTCGACTTGACGCGGCGCCGTACTCTCTTCACTCCCCACTCTCTTCACCTGCAGTCCTCAGTAATAAATATATTTGGTAACCATCTAATGTCCTGGAAGGGGATATGAGATGATCTGGGTCTGATGGAGGGAGGCTGCTGTCTGAGCTTCTCACCCCAGCCATCACTGTCAACTCCCAGGAGAATCTGCACACTTAAAATCTGTGCACTCTCGAGTCACATGCTGTGGACACAGAAACAAACCAAATCGGCAAAGGCCATTGCCACAGGCCTTGGTGGAAGCCACAGAGAGGAGGGGTTTGCTCAAGCATTCCTAAGGCCAGGGCAGCAATTTCTAGAGGGAACCTCTACTGACCTTGGAAGAGGCATCTTGGAAACCCCTGGGCCCTGGCCCAGCCCCAGGCAAAGGTGCTCCCCTCCCTGCAGTGCTGGTAGGGATGGAGCAGCCGGAGAGAAGAGTGCTAACTGCAGAGAGGAGAGATGATACAGTGAAGTCTCAGCAGATAAGAGCAGGGAAAAGATGCTTACAGACATTTCTCTGCAGAAAAGCTGGGGAAGGAGACACAGACTACATTTCAGAGTCATCTACAAATAAAAGAAACAAAACCCAAACCACAGCCAACACGCAGGTAGAGGCACTCTTGAGACCCTGCCCTTCATGGCTATGCAGGAAACTGACAGAATTTGCTCCAGGTACTGCCCAGGCCCTCTGGACTTGCCCTTTCCCTTGGACCTGAAAATGCCCCAAACAAATCCAAAGTTCTCCGCCTTTCCCCTGGTTTCTCTTTCCCCTCCTGGACAGTCGCTTTTTGAGCTGTTTTGAAGAAGCCTTTCCCCTGGGAGACACAAGCAGCTAGCAAATTAATTGGCAGCAGCAAGGACTTCCTTCTTGTTGCCTGGCAACTCCATGCACTTGGCAGTGGGACATTAAACAGAGGGGAATGTTGTAAGGCATTTGCAAAATAAATAAAAAGCAAAACACACAACCCCCAGACTCTCATCCCAGGGCAGCAGACACAGCCAAGGGGAATGGGGAGGATGAGAGGATAAACACCAGCAAGAAAATGAGGTGTGGACGTGAGCAGATCCCGCCAGCCACCTGCCTGTAAAACTCTGTTCTGTGTTTGTACGTGGCCGAAGGCACGCTCTGTCAGTGCAGAGGGAGGCTGCAGAGGCATAGGGACTGGACAGCACTTACAGATCGGAATGACAGCGAAGGGTTACAAAGCTTCCTATGAAACTGAATCTGCTGTTTATGCTTCTCTGGCCTGCGTTAGGCCATAGATGAAGTCACACTAGTCAAGGTGATGCAGCCACCTTGAGAACTGGATGGAACTCCCCACTCCCCGCCACTTTGTCTGGTCCCTTTACACTTGAGTGTGTTCACAGCTGGTTGCTACAGCCAATAGGAACTGACATGCTGAGTCCTCCAGCACACCGCCGTCCTCCTTCCAGCCCAAATCTGGGCTCTGGGTTAGCTCCTGCACAGAAGTGGAATATACAAGCAGTCTACGTTGCAGCAGTCTATGTTTCCTGTGGAAGGGAAATGGAGATGTGGAGAAGAAGCAGTGAGAAGATCTTGTGGCTAATGTCCCCAAAGACATTCACAGCCCAGTCTTGCAACCTGTGACTACTGCCTTGCATAGCAAGAAGGCCAGACTGCACCACTGCGATTCAGCTAAGGATTCTGGAATGGCGGTATGATTCTGGGCCAACCTGTTGGCTCCTATGTGATATTGCAGATGTCCAGAGAAGAAAGGCAGAGAGAGGGATCTGACACACAGAGGCAGCAGATGCAATTATACAAACAGAAAGTTGGCAGGGTTCACGGGTGGAGTGGGGAGCGTGACTCAAAGTAAGGAAAGTGGATGCCTCCCACCAAAGCCAAGGCAGGGGCTCTCCACTGGAGCTTCTAGAAGAGCCATCCCTACAGAACCCTTGACTTCAGCCTGGTGAAACTGGTCTCAGAAGGTGGGGACTGTACGTCCATGTACTTCTGGAGAGGATATTAAAGTTGGGATATTGGCACCGATGGAATGGAGCAGAGCAGAAAAGGGTGGGATCCAGAATTGGGTTTCCTAGGAAAATGGTGCTCAGTGGGAAAAGGATAGCTCTCCAAGAGCAACTGAGGCAAGCAGCAGCCCAAACTCTGCAACAGGCTATTAAATTACGCCGCTTGTGGCTGCAGCGTGGGCAGGTGGCTTAATCTCTGAAAGCCTTGGTTTCGTCACTGCACTGTAGAGATAATATTATCATCTACTGTGCAAAGCTTTTAGGATTAAATGAGATAATATGTGAAAAGCACCTGGAGCGTGGTTGATGCCAAGTAAGTGATAACTCCTAGGAAGATTAGGCATACAGATAAGGACAGGCACTGTTTGTTGCCCTCCCAATATCTATCCTACCCTTTCCTCTAAACTCTGCCTTTTGGCAGGTGTGGTGCAATTCAGAGTAAAAATATTGCATTTGTCAGCCTCCCAGGCAGGTAGACACGGCCATATAATTAAGATTTAGTCAGTGAGTTGTAAGCAGAACTACTGGAGTAATTCTGGGAAGGCTGCTCTAAAGTGCCAGAAGGAGCCTAAGTTTTACCTGTCTGTCTTTGCCTTTTCTATTTATAATAAGGATATGACTGGTGCTCCAGCAGTCCCCCTGGTCTACCACGGACACATAAGGTAGAAGCTGTGCACTAAGATGCTCTAACAAGCAGATGACAATCCTGAATCCCTGGTCACTCCAGTGCTGCCACTCCAGCCTGGGTCAGCCTTCTGCTGGATTTCAGTACCTTCTGCAGTAGGTAAGTCCATGTTGTTTTATAGTTTTCTGAAAGCATAAAGAATACATTACAGACCCAGGCAAACAGGGTGCAGAGTCCCATTCTGGAACACTGGCTCTCCAGTTCAACCCAGGATCTTCACGTGTACCCACACCTGAGAACCGCTGCTCTGAGACAAAAGCTCTCCACCAGACACGTGTGAAGCCAGGCAGTGCTGCACTGTGAGGGCTTGTGCTGTGCATCATCCCTGGTGTACCCCTTCCACGCCATCAGTGACAAATTCAAAGTTCTCAGACATTGCTGTGTGTCCGGCCTTGAGGGAAGAGGACTGCAAACGGCTGCCAGCTGAGAACTCTGCCCCAGAGTCATGGTTCTTTCTTGACCTTGGCTGTACATCAGAACTATCTGGGAAGCTTTTCAAGATTCCAATGCTCAGGCCTCAGCCCAGCCCAGGTAAACCAGTATCCGTGAGGGTGGGGCCAAGGCAGCACCCGAAACTCCCCAGGTGAGTCCCCCAGGCAGCCATGAGGAGACCAGCAGGCCCAGAGAAACAGCGGTACCACGCTGCACGGAGGTTTCAAGTCCTGATGGTGAAGACAGCCCAAGATGTTCCCAAGCAGAAACTGCACCCAGGGTGCCTGGGGTAGACTGGGAACCCACATCCCAGAAACCAGCCAGCCGGGTGGAATTCCTGGCAGCTGTGTCACCTCATTTCCCATAAGAACAGGGTGGACATCTTTCAGTCTCTCACCTGAATAACCACACAAAGCCTCAGTTTCCTTCACTAATAAACAGTATGAACAATGAGCCATAAACATGACCTCATCCTACAGAAAGGAGCAACTTAAGAAAGATGGCAATGGCGCAGCAGAGGCCACTTCTAGGTGAAGATCACAGAGCCTCTCCAGGGGCCACACCTGCAGGCAAGGAACCAGCCTGCACCCAGGCAAGCAGAGATGTCATGGGTATTGAATGCAGCCCTGAAAATACCCTTGGCTACAGACCTACAACTGAGCTGGAAGGGAGAACGGGAAGAGTTAACTGAGAAATCAGCAACCAAGCGGGAGGGATGGCTGAATGAACTGATGTTCTGACCCCTTAAAGAAAAATGAAGTCCTGCGTCAGGTCTTCTCCCTGCAGGGACTTTTACATTCATTGTTTCATCCCAGCCCACTCAGCTAAAATGCTGAGCCATCTTTTCCTTGTTTCCCTTGGCCCAACTCATTAAGTTCAAGACGTCTAGAAGAGAAGGTAAGGGGAAGCAGAGGAGAGGAGAACAAGAAGAGGAAGAGAAGGAAGAGGTGGGAAGAAGGAGAGGAAGACAAGGAGGAAGAAAAAGAGAAGGAAGAGGATGAAGAGTAAGAAGAGGCGGCAGGAGCATGCCGGCCAACAGGTTCTAGTGGCCTCAAATTGACCAAATGATTGCAAGACCACAGCGGAGTGGCTTCCTTCCCCTACCTAGTTCAACCCCATCTGTACAGGCTAGATAGAAGGATGAGGGAAAGACCTGAGTCTATACAACATACAGAGACAGCCAGCTCCAGCCAGTCTGTCAGAAGCAATGGTACCACAGAGAATGGCACACACTGACACGGCCCAGCCTTCTCCAGAGTTTCTGCTCTCCATTCCATCAGTCCATTTATTACAAGTGACTGAAACAAAGAAGGAGACCACAGCTGCTCCATTTTAGCACACAAGGAGGTAAAGAGCCAGGTACCCGAGTAAGGAAGTCAGGTCCCTCTCTGTTCCTAAGGAGTCTAGCAAGTTCTGGTTTGTAGCAAGGGAATCCCAAGAATCAGTAACTTCACAGCCAGCAGTGGCTTCTTCAGCGTTTTTCACCTTCCTTTCCCTATCCTGTGCCCCGCCCCCAACAAGTCTGAATACATTTCCTTCTGACTGAAATTCCAGGGTTTCCTCCAGCCTGTAAACCTTGTGTGCAAATATCGTGACTCTAGCAAATGTGTTAAAAAATAAACCTTAAAAAGCTTCCAGATGTTCTGTTTGTATTGTGGTGTTTTTCTGCTCTAGTCTCCAGAGGCCAATACACGGTGTACAGGATCCTGACAACCCAGAAAAAAATCGGACGCAGCCCAGAGGCTCAGCGTGGCAGTGAGCAGAGAGAAGACCCCTGCCCAGGACCACTGCTCAGTAGGTTCACCCATAAACTCTTCCACTGCAGAGATGCACTGTGTACCCCCCTTTGTTTTCCCACTGTACCCCATATCCTGTTCCTTCCGCTGTCACAGGTAAAAGGTACACTCTTGCAGTTCACTTGATGGCATGCAGAAGATTGCAAAAGATTGCAACAGAGCAATTCTGAGATTTTCAAAGCTTTAAGTTTTGCCTTTTCTGAGCACCTACCTCACCCCTCCATTAAACTTCTCATGCCAACTGACCATGGAACATATCATAGGGACAAAATGACCAGCAGTGACCCTCATACTCAAGATGGCAAATGACCATTTGCAGGGACATCTTAGGACCTGGACCAACCAGAACAAGAAAGTGGAGTTCATGGCTTGTCAAGGCCCCTCTGGGGCCGGTGGCCTCTGATCTACAGGAAGGTAATTGCCAACGGGCGGGCTTGTGCACACATAACCACACACGCACCCTTCCCAACACGCACACACCCGAGGGCCCAGGATTCTTTGCACAAGGTGACGCCTGCACCCTTTGATGCTCGCCGGATGTGTTCCTATTGGGCAAAAACCAGACCTCAATAAATCCAGCATTATCAAGAGGCTGGTGGTTTGCGATTGCACCAGCCTGTTATCTCTGGGCCCAGGTGGGGCTGCTTCGCGGTTCACCATTGAAAAGCATTAACTTATAGGTAGATCAAAGACCCTTCCGCACCAGCCGACCTGGGTCCCTTATTTATCCCCCCATGGATTGTTCCTTAAGATGAACTTTAAAGATAGTAAGTTCCCCAGTCCTCACTCTCTTGTGTCCTCTCCTTATCACACAATATGGCTCTTGGGCCACTCAATAGCCAGTCGTCAGGCATTTCTTGTCCTTTCTTTGGATGACCCATTTAATGATAGTACAGAGAGGACTAGGCCATGCGGGCACTCCTTTCCCCTTTATGAGTCACAAGGACAAGGAGGTCCCAGAGAGGAGTCACTGATCATCCTCTGTCCTCGGAAGAAACTGCTAGGCCTGTTCACTTAGTCTGAAGGCCCCAGTGGACTCTACTGTCTACATAGACATTTGAGGTCAGTAGTCAGTCTGCAGTGAGGTCAGTTCTGAGTTGTGTGGATATGGGGTCACTAAGAATAACCCATCGGCCAGGGGGCAAGCAAGGATCTTCCAACAGGGCGGCTTGTAGGCTTCCTGCCTCCCAAGAGACCTCAGACCACGGGGCAGGTTCGTGCGTGGTCACTCACATACAAACAGGTGTGTTTTCTTTTTCACTTTGAGAGGACCTAGCTTATTATCTCTACTGGAGAGGTACAGGTTGGACAAATAATTGGATGTGTGGATACATGGATAAATAGATGAATGGATGGATAGACGAATGGGCGGATGGATGGATGGATGGATAGACAAATGAACCAATGAGTGAATGAACAAGTAAATCACTAGCAATATAAGCCAGTTATTCTATAATTTGTAGGAGAGACAAAGGGTGGGGACACTCACTCCTACCAGTGAGAAAACAGCCCAGGTGGCAAATCTCACCTGAGATGTCTGAGCTTAATATCATGCACTTAGATGAGGGTTCAAGCCCTGAATCAAATTTTTGTAAGCTATATAAGACTAAGCAAGTTACTTCTGTTCTCGTTAACCCATGCATAAAAGAGGAAAGTCCTAGTGCTTAATGAGGTGTCACTGAAATTCTAAGGACTCAGTAAGTACTATTAGTCCTCACCACTCCCTTTCCCTACAGCACTATCTCCTCTAAAAGTTGAAATCGCATGTTTCCAAAGAAGAAGGAGCCGCGTATGTGACTCTTTTCTGTTGTCAACCATGCAAGCAAGGTGCATAGAGAAGTCTTGGCCCATCTCCTATCACGATATCCTTTTTAACATTTGGATTAACCTTTACCTACTGCCCTGCCTTTCACACTGCTTTAATCACTCCTAAAAACTCAGAACCTGGGCTCACATGCAACGAGGAGGCAATGAAGCCAAGAGATGTGAACCCAAGAGGGGAATTGAGGAGTCCCCACCATGCATAGACAACAGCTCAGCCACTGACCAACACTTTACTTCAACTGTATTACATAATGCTGAAATGCACAGACCCTCATCCCAACACACACACACACACACACACACACCATTTTTGCAGCTCTGGAGATGGAACCCAAGGCCTACATATTCTAGGAAAACACTCCATTACTGAGCCATGCCCCTGCCTGATGTCCACCTCTTTCTTTTTTCCCTTGCACTTCTGTCCTCTAATTTGGGTCCTCTTATTCTTAAACCCTAGTCTGCCTGTCTGTGTCTCACATTCCTCAGAGACATAGTAGCTGTCAGAACCAGCGTGACCAACCCTGCTGGGAACAATTCCTATAGGCTCTGGCCAGCTTGGTCCAGACCCCCATAGCCTGGCCAACTTGTGGCTTCTGTGCCAGGATGAGGAGTGGAGCTGGACCTCAGCCTCCTCCATCCCAGAGGAGCTAGGCTGTTACCCAAGGCTGCAGCTGGACCCTCACCGGCACCGGGAGGTCACGCGCAAGCTCAGAGAAGAGGCCACCCACACAGCACATCAGGCTGATGGGCCATCCCTGGGGCCAGAGCTGCACTAGTCTTGGCCCTGACTTGAAGATTCACCATATGGCTTCCCTAGGGAGTAAGAGAGGAGGACAGGAAGTGAGCCATGACAGGGTGAGAGACAGCCTTGCTTCCCTCCAGACAGGGGACACTCCTGGCCACTGGGGGAAGGGGAATTTAGCTTTATTCCCTGCATGTCCAAGAAAAAAATGAGTGACCGCAGGCAGTGACATCCCCAGATAGGTCTCCCCCTCTGGCTCCTTGCTCTTCAGCTCCAGATGTGTTCCTAGGGTTTGATGTGAACTTTAGAACCCCGGAAGTTTGGGTGACTTCACACTTTTCTAAATAAAGACTCAGAATGGTTTTCACGTTTGCAGACAATTTTGACCAAAAGTGTAGGCTGTCGAGCAAGACCAGAGAGACAGATCTCTCTCTGGTTCCCTAGCCCCCCTCTCTGGTTTCCTCGTGCCCTTTTGTCCTAAAGTCTTGGGGGTAGAGGTGAAACCTGGGCAGCATTGGCCTCTCCATCTGAAACCTTCCTGTTCTATGGACAGCTTTTCTCTTTCTTTTGGTCCTGCAGGTTCCAGGTGGTTGGGCAAGACTCAGGGACAGAGGACAGAATGGAGAGGACAGTCACCGCGCAGCCTCTAAGAACAGAGCCAGATGCCTCATTGGGGAGGAAGGTAGCCTTTCCAGGAGCACAGCAAGCCGGGACTTGTGGAAACCAGAGCCCCCGCTGGCAGAGGGGATGGACAGGGGAACCAGAATTCAAAGAGGTGACTTAAGGGGAGGGCTGGCGGGGGGTTGGGGGAGGTTTCCGTGAATCATATAAATTAGAGACAGAAAGGATGTCAGGCCACCTTCATTTCCTTCCTCTCCTAATAGGAATTATCTCATTAGCCCCGAGCTTCCTAGAAGCAAACTTTAAATGATTCCTGTAATGGGGATTTCAATCTGCAGCTCCCTCCCTCCCTCCCTCCCAGATCTGACTCCCAGGAGAGCTAAGAAAGGTCTTAAAGGGACAGCACACAGAGAGGCCAGTTCAACAGGCTTAGCATTGCTCTTGTTCCTCTGGGTAGGTCCTGTCCTTCTACTCTGCATGTCCACTTACAGAACCATACAGCAGAACATAGTCACAGATATGGGGATAAGCTGAATTGGGATGCATTCCTTTGCCCTCTTTCCCCCTGCAAAAGAAAATAAAAGCATACTCTGATCCTTTCAACCTATGAAAGTTGCCTTACATGGCAAAATGGATTGGCAAATGGGATTAGTTAAATATTTTGAGATGAGAAGATTATCCTGGATTATCCTAAATGCAATCGTAAGTGTCCTTAGAAGAGGGAGGTAGGGGAGACTTGATGACAGAGAGAGGAGGAAATGCAAAGGGACCACAAAGGCAGAGGCTGGGATGATGTGGCTACAAGCCAAGGAATGCTGGCAGCCACTGGAGCTGGGGACAATTAGTCCCTGCAGCCACGAGGAGAAGTCAACCCTGCCTACAACTTGATTTCAGCCCCAGAGGTCTTATTTCAGACTTCTGGCCTCCAGAACTGTGAGAACAAATCTGTGATGTTTTAAGCCACCAAGTTTGCAGTAATTTGTTACAATTGGCCCCAGGAAACTAGTACATTTAGAAAAAAAAAGTTCTTGCCACAATAATTATCTTTGGAACCTTATTCTACAGCAAAAGAAAAATTATATCAGAAACATCAAAGAACCATCCAAAAATAACTATGCCATACTCCCACAACGAAATCCTAAATAACTATAAAATATTGAGCTATTAATGATAAAGGACTAACATCACATAACAATATGGCTGTAATTTCTTCACTCGCTTTTATCAGTTGGTAGGAAAGTCATCTTGTAATTACTCCGGCCTCTGCAAGTTATGTACTGAGTTGCAGAACAGTAGGAAAGCTAAGTATGGTTGGATTTCTGTGCATGAACAGAGAAGCAGGACCTATAGAAGTCCAGGGGACCGAGGACAACAGATCAGGGCATCCACCTATCAAGGCTACTGCAACAAATTTCTACAAAGTGGTGACCTTAAACAGGGAATTCATTCTGCAAGTCAGACATCCAAAATCAAGATGTGGACAGAGCTGGACACTCCAAGGAAGAATGTGTTCCTTGCCTCTCCCCCAGCTTCTTCAGGCAAACCTGACATTCCTTGGCCTCCAGAGGCCTTGCTTCAATCACTGGTCCATCTCCGTGTCACCTTCCCTCTATCACTTCTAAGAATTGCTCATTAGATCTAGGGCTCACTCTAAACCCAGGATGAACAGATTTCAAAATTTCTTAATTATATTTGCAAAGATTCTTCTTCCAGACAAGATCACTCACTCTACATGGCCATGAAGTTTGGGGCAATTACTCCATTATAGACAGTCTGCCCCTCCAACCCACAATGCCGTGTGTGTGTGTGTGTGTGTGTGTGTGTGTGTGTGTGTGTGTGTTTCATATTCAACTGGAGTTGCTAACACTAGAGTGGGTGGTTTTGCGAACAATAAAATTCTCCGTCATCAAGGTGTTCAAACAGAAGATAGCTATCTGGAAAGTCTTAAACAATATCATAGGTCCAGATGTGAGATGGAAATAACTGGAATCAGTTTGATTTGAATCAGTGCTAGGCATTAAAAAGATGCTGATGGCTCCACTGAGGATGCTACTTACATCTCAACATCCCTCTCTCCACAGACTCTTCAGAGTAGAATGAATAAGCCATGCAAAAGGAAATGCTAAGAATACTTGTGTACCTGGATGACAGTTTACAGAGCACCATCTTGGCTTCCTGCACTACAGGATAAAATCTGACACACCTACATGCCTCTCTCATTTGATGGCAGGAAGCTGGCTCAGAAGCACACCAGGACAAATCCAATGGCAAGAGACAGCCAGGGCAGCACTCCATGAGTATGCACACTGAGAAAGGGCCACAGCATCATCACAGTGTCCATCTGGGCAGCTGGAGAGTCCTGGGAAGGCCTACAGGGTAGAGTCCTGGGCTCTGTTTCTGCACCTGGCAAACCAACAAAACAGGACAGCAGTCAGAGGAGCCATCGCAGGCGGCAGCCAAGGGCAGGCTGCCTGTTCCCACTGGAGCACAGATGGGGCACAGCCACCTGGCAGGCAATGTACCAACAGTGGGAGGCCCAAGGCTCTCTTCAGCTACAGGTGGGTGCTGCTAAAGCCACTCTCAGGGGCAGCCCCAAGCCCAGGTCTTGCTTCACTGCTAATTGCTATAAGCACTGTGCTGCCGAAACTCAATCTGGGTGGCCCTTAGCCACTCCCAAATCTTGTCACATGCTTGGTGAGCTCAGCTGTCTGCACACAAACCTTGTCAAGCAAGCAGGACAGATGTTGTTATTAGTCCCACTTTACAGATGGGAAGCTGCGACAGAGCCGAACGGCCACCCAGGGAGTACATGTCCTTGTCCCCGTGTGCCTTCTGCAGCCAGGCAGGAAAGGGGCAGCCCTACATTCTCTGCGTTGCCCGTGAACACCAAGGGCTTTACAGAGGCGGCCACAAACAGCCGGAGACATCCCTTCTATTCATGACTGACTCGCTAAGACACCCCAGCCTTCCTCCTCTTGTCTGGCAGTGTGCATGTGGAAGGCATGGCTTGTGGCCAGGCTGGGCCTCCCCCAAGAGCAGGGAGGCATGCCTTCTGGGATCCACCAAAAGAAGCTATCTATTCTGTACTTTTCCAGGTTTGGAGAAAGGATTAAGCAGGGCCAACCTGAACTCCCAGCTCAACTTCTGCATGACAGCTCTCCCTGCTGCCTTGGAGAGGTGCTCAGAGCAGGACAGTCTCTTTCTGCTGTCTGCAGCAGCCCAGGGAGGCAGCTGGGTGATTCTGGAACTGTGTGGAGCACAGTGAGCATTACCCCGTCTGGGGCCAGAGGTCAGTGGGGCAGGTTGTGTTCCCAGGGAAGCTGGCCAAGCCAGTTCCCTTTTGGTGGGCCTCTGGACTGACCCATGGCTACAGCAGCACTCAGGGGTGGCATCTGCAGCTAACAGGGAGAGGCTGCACCAGCTTCCCATACAACTGTCTCCTGGAACACCTGACTGCAGCCTCCTTGGACTTGATTTTCCAACAAGACAAGAAAAAAAGTGGCTGTGCTTCCTCCCGCCACACCCATTCCTCTGTCCCCCTGCACCTTTCCCCATCCCTTGGAGAATGTGCATCTTCATAGGCACCTTGGGAGATGCAGTGCATCAGGGTCATAAGGCAAGGAACCCGGAGAAGACGGATGGGGACTCTGCAGGCTGTAAAGAGTCAAGCTGCCTCCAGCCCTCTGGGCCAGTCCTTGGTTCCCATGACACTCACTGGCAGTGTTAATAACTAACCACGGTCCAGACAGGTGTTGGCAGCGGGCTTTAGGAGTTCTTGTTCAGGGGTGGAAGTGAGTCATTTCCCTTTTATAGTTTGCTAGCAGACTGAGTCACCCAGAGCCGACCCTTTCACCCAAGCTCTCACACCCTGGCCACCTAATGTACAGCCCATACCTTAGAGCTACCTCCTTGCCTGGGCAGCTGAGCCCCGTGCAGCTGCTGCTGGGGTCCAGGCCAAACACCATCCCATCAATGACCAGGTCTGTCTCTGGTCCCTTTTCCCCCACTGCCTCAGGTGGCCCAGCTGACTCCCTGTCCCTGTCTGATGTGCTGTCTCGGGAAAACAGCACCTGACAGGTAGAGAGGCCTGTTAGGGCTGCCTCACCTTTGACCTTTAACTAAACAGTGCTCTCCTACCTCCCTCTCCGGACCAAAAATCAGAAATGAAAAGTTCCAGAGCCACGAACCAGAGAACAAAACTGCAATGCAAATCAGTTAGCTTCATTGTCTTTGGGAAGGACTGAGGCTGAAGGTAGGTAAATGGAGTCCCATGACCGGGGGCACAACAAGCCTCCCTATCGCATGTCAGGCGGCTGGCAAGGCCAGGTCAGCAGGCTCCTAAGGTGGCTCTCATCTCCTGGACAGAAACCAAACACAGGTCAGCTACAAGGAGAGACTGAGGTGTCTCCTTGGTAATGCTTTTCCCCATGCTCTTCTGGTCCCTCTTGGCAATTTTTTTCTTTTATTTCAAAAGAGAGTAAGAGGGAGAAAACAAAAACATGCAAAAAACTAAAAACAAAAAGCAGGGCAAAAAAGAAAACCAATCTCCCCAAAACAGATTTCGAGATTATACTTTTTTCTTAGTCTCAGAAAGTCCCTTTCTTCTGTGCTTTCTAATACAGGCAACCAACACACAGGACTCTGACATTGGGTAGGACAGCACCAGTGTCTCACCGCTAGGGGCTTCAGCAGGTGTGGACTGGCAGGCGGGCAGAAAAGGACACTGTTTCTCTCCTCAGAAGGCAGAAAACAAGAGGGAAAAGTCACAGCAGAGGCTGTGCCAGGTATAGCAAGGAACCTGACACTCTGCAGCAGTGCTGGCCTTGTGGGTGAACTGTGCTGGCTGTTCAGGACTACGCGTCCCCTCCCAGGCCTTACGACTTCCCCAATACCCAGGTGTCACAGCCCAGCTCACCCCAGGCTGCCTCATCTGCACACAGCCCCCTGGACTTTCCAAACTGCATTTTGAAATCTGTGTGCCGCAGCTGTGGGTCTAGTGGCCCTTCTCAGGTGAGGGGACATTCCCTGGTCTTGTGCACAGCATCTGAGACAGCAGCTGCCGACAGCATCAGGGTCCGAGTGCCAAAGAGACGGACTCCACCCTGGGTGCTGGCTTGGGGGCACTGAATGAGTCATCGGGCCTGACCAGTAAGCGTGATGTCCCTGGTGAAGTGGGAGGTCTGGGGACCCAGCCTGCTGCAGGGACAGGAACTGAAGTGACTCACAGTTGGACCCCAAGGGGAAGTTCCATTCTGGTGTCCTCTGGATGACTCTGGTCCCTGGGTGAGCTCATCCCCGTCACTGCTGACACTCAGACCAGGACTTGATTTTTGTTCCCAGCGCCACTGGCACCTTTTCACTCTTAGTTATGGGGGTGGCATCGTCATCCAAGTGCAGCACCTCTGTGCTCAGCACACACATGCGTGATGAATGGAGCTAACCACAGCGTGCATCCTCCCTGGGCATCCAGCTTCTCATCAGTGAGCACGGCCCTCATCCTGCTGACCTCAGACAGGAGCATTGGGGGCTGTGAGGCAGTGAATGTGACAGCTCTTTGAAGGAAGTTTGCAAAGCCAGAACCAGTGAGCAATGCTGAGGTTACTGTTTCTGACTACTGCCTCAGGGTCCAGCCAAGAGGCTCCCATCTTTCTCCCTCTTCCTGGACTGGGCCCAGGTGGAAAAGGGTTCCCACCAAAGTCATCACAGAACACACTTGACATTGGCAGAAACAGGTCACAGCCCCTCCACTCATCCTGCCCCTTCTTTATTCCAAGTGTCTCCAACAGAGCATGCAAATGTTACCATAGCTTCGCCAGGCAGAGGCAGGTCCTTGACTAGCTCTTCTGCCACACACAGGAGCTATAAAGAAGTCTCCCAAAGAAGGATGGTAGGCAGCCACCCCCTTATGGGCTCAGCTGTCAGCTCACACACAGTCACAAGACACTGGCTGACAACCGCCATGACCAAGACCTTGTACATACCTTTGAAGGAAGACACACTGCCTCAGATGAAGAGCTCCAGGGTACTTGTGACCTGCCCTTCTTTGATGGCCACAGTAGTTACAGAGTGAAAGACAAGAGAGACTGACGGAAGACCCCGTTCATTTCTGCAATTGGAGCTGCACTTGGAGGGATGAGGCAGATAAAGGAAAGCATCAGGCTGCCAGATGGCAGGGAGAGCTCTGAAGCGGCCTGGAGGGACTCTGTGGGAGGGTCACCAGCAGTGTGAACTACACTGTGGCCTGATGATGCCACGCTCAGACTATGCTGTGGCCTGATGATGCCACGAGTCAGGAGTCCTGTGAGCCTCCTGGGCAAACACAACCAGAAGGGGAGACACGCCTGTGTTCCCACTCGCTTGGTTTTCTTTCCCATCCTTTGATGCTGGGCCTACAGTGTGTTCCATGGTAGCTTTACAGAGGGGAAGAGGCCCCTCCAGCACCCACCCAAGAGGAGATCCTGAATCAGACAGTCACTGGTGCTAAGAATCAGCTCCTGTGACATTCACGGTGTCTCAGCTCATCCTCAGCATCACCGTCATGTTCTGTTGTCAGAGGTATGTGATGGGACAGGAAAGACATGGGCAGTCAGTCCCCCTCCTGTGTGCGAGCCCTTTCACTAGGTACCCTGTTCCCATCGGCTTCTAGACCAGCCCCTTGCATAAGCTGGACCATAGTACATGGTACTCAAAACCCTGCCTTAGATCCCAGGTTCCCTGGATCCAGGACTAAACGTCCTGGGAACCCTGCCTGGTATGACCTTCATGCCCTGGGGTGCTTGGTCCTCTCCCCGAGCTCCACCATGCCTGTGCTCGGTTCTCAAAGTTCACGGCTTATGTGTGCCTGCTCTGGCTCTGATGTCGCTGCTCCCTCTGACCCAAACACTTCCCTGAGCGTTCGAGCACTCCGTCCCTCAGCTGTATTGTCACCGGCTTTATTCTACTGGCTGCCTGCTATCTGCTCTTTCCATATCTCGTTCACTTGAGCCACTGTTACAGCCTCTATTTTTCCCATGATACTATTACCTTCTTACGTACTATGCAATTTACTTCTTTATCACTGTCTAGTTACTGCCAGTCCTTCCCCCACTAAAAAGCAAGTTCTGTGAAAGTAGGATTGTACTTGCTTTGTTCAGCTCTCTACCTAGAATGGTCCGAAGAGTGACAGGCACCCAGTATCTATTAAATGAATGACAGAAAGAATGAAATGAATGGGTGAATGGATGAAATCACCCAGGTTGGAGGAAGGGGCTATACTGTATAGAATGGCCTGGCACTGGGCAGAGGAGACCTGGAAAAGAAAGGAGGCCTGGGGCTGGCAAGGGCAGAAAGCGCTACAGTCAGAGGCAGTGCACACGGTTTGCCTGGAAATCCCCTTGGAGTCACTCATTAACCATCCCGACCCTGGCCAGCTAGCAGAATGACTTCAACACCTGGCATTCCTTGCAGGCCCACATTCCCACTCAAGAGATCACATATTGTCTGGGCTCCTAGTCTTTTGCTCCTGGCATCCTAGGGTCGAGAAAAGGGACATCCAAGGCTAGAAAAAAACACCTAAAAAACAGAAATGAGCCCCTCTTCCCATTTCTACCCTTTTGAGCCACCAACAGGGAGGCAGAGCCAGTACTGGAGGCAACATGTCATATAATAGAGTATGGAGTGGCCTGGTAAAGGAGTACTAGGCCAGTGGCTGTGGGGTTTTAGGAAGGTGAGGAGCAAGAGTGGTCAGCATGGGGCAGGGTGCAGAATCCGGTCGGGGGGGCAGGATACACAGTGGGAAGAAATGGATGCAAGTGAGGTGTCCAGGGGTAACTGGTCACTAGGAAGATCAACAGAGATGTGATAGGTTTCTTTTCTATTTAAGAGGGAATAAAACAAAACAATAACATGGAGCCAAACAAAACAGTGAGAACAATATTGGATTTCAAAAACAGGACAAAAGGAAATTCCCTATAGTTGCTATACTGCATACTGTTATCCTCTAAATACATGCTCAGACTAGTGGTTTTAGGCCTACAAAGTGAATCAAACAATACAATCATTAAGGGTTTCTTGTTTGTTTGTTTGTTTGGTTGGTTTTTTTAACTTCAGTTGCTATCATCTCAGCCTGTGTTCCTCCAAATAAGCTGGTTATTGGGGGGGGGGGTTGGGGTTGGGGATGGGGTGCTCTTCTTATCTCCCAGCCCACATGTAGGTTGGCTCACAGGTTGGCTTCCTGGTTCTATTCCTGGCCCCGCAACTGCTGCTGGCTCATGGGAAGGTACAGGCGTAAAGCGTTCCTTAACCCATCACAAGGTGGCATGGTGAGTACTGGGTTTAAGAAAGAGGTAAAGGGGCTGGGGATTTAACTTAGCAGCATAAGCACCTGCTTTGCAAGCAGGCAGTCATGAGTTCGATTCCTGGTACTGATAAAAAAGAAAAAGAAAAGGACAAAAAAAAAAAAAAAAAAAAAGGAAAAGAAAGAGGTAAAACAAAAGTACGAATAGAATCACTTTGGAGAGAAAATCCAAAGGCTGGAGCCCTTGGTGATTATTCCAACTGGGTCTTCAAAAGCCAAGACAGAAGGATGGCCAGGAAAAGGAAGCAAATCCAACGGTGTGGAGAGCTGTCAGGACCCCGTATACTGGCAAAGAGGGAGTTAAGGACACTGGTTGCTGGCTGTGACAGATCTTGTGGAATAAGATACAAAAGAGCAAGGAAGGGAACTAACAGGGCACCAATCCAGGTCTTTGCTCTTTATTATTTTCTCCAATATTTGGTCTCCCCGAGAACAACAGGGAATGAGCACTACCTTCTCACACATGAGAAATTTTATCCAGGATCATAGCCAGAGCTCCCAAGATTGAATATAAAACAAAACAGAAAACATGCCAGCACTTATGCAAAGATGTCCCAGTACTGGGTCCGGCACTCAATGTGCCTGCTTTAATTCACTTCACAATACACAAGAGACTGCCCTTATTATTCCCATTTTGCAGATGGGAAACCAAAGTTCACAGAAGAGAAGGTCACCGGTCCACTGTCACAAAGTGAAAACGCAGTGGCAGCTGGATTTGAAGCCAGGCCATCTGGGTCTATGCTCCTTACCACTGCACTAGACAAAATAGTGACAGATTCACAACATCATCTGCCTGGTTGCAAATCCCTGATTTGCGCTGCACAGCACCTTCCTTCCAAGCTCCTGGGAGAATTAGAAACAATCTGTTGTCTCTCACCAAATACAGCTACATTCTAAGCTTGCATCCAGAATGAGACTGACAGCCAGAACCAGAGCCACTGCAAATGAAGAAGTCTAGACAACTATGGGCAATTCCAGCCTTTGTATGAAAGGAAGGGTCATCTGCTCCACATCCTGCATTATTAGGACTACACATCAGTCAGCAGCACTGCAGAAACATTTAGGAACCCATTAAATCCTGTGGACAGTCTCTGCCCCTGAAGGCCAGCAGATCAATCCACCTGGCCCCTACACTCACAGGCTGAGTCACCTGCCTGATGGTTTTTCGTGTCCTGCAGGGGACTCTACGTCTGAAGTGCAGGTAGCAGGAGCTGATGCATTACCTGTTAGAAGCTGGGACAACTCACTATCACTCAAAACAGCAACAGATCACAGTAATAGTTCAGAGTTAGCTTTTCAATCCAGGCTCTCTTGCAAATTACCTATGCAAACTTGGCCAAATGACTGTACTTTGGTTTTCTCATCTGTAGGCTGGGCATCATGTAACTCACCTGTGAGAGCGGTGAGAGGCCAAATGAGTTAATGCAGACAACAGCCATGGAACATAGCCTGCTGGAATTAATAAACACTGACTGTACTTAATAAACCCGGGTCCCGATCCTCCGCTGATGGCTACCTGCAAGGCTCCTGCTGACGACTGCACTCTGCTCTGTGGGAGCGTTAGGGATGTGTACATAAAGTGACAGGTGGAGACACAAAGCCCCCGAAGCTAGAAGCTCTGCAGGGATGTAACTGTGCTGTGAGGACCGGCAGTGACTCACCTTTATTCCGGTCCTTCCTTCTTGGGTCCAAGCAACCACCGAGCCAACTGGAAATCTCTGATTTCACCTGAAAAAATATGGAGAAGGTTACACCTGGAAAATATAAAATAATGAAACTCATTTTTAGGTTTCAAATACGGAAAGTATAACTTCTGAGTACCAGCTTCTTACCCTCAGAGACCTCAGGACTTTAATAGTTGCTTATTCCTCATTATAGAAAAAAAAACCACATTCATTTAAACAAACGAAACAAAGGGAAAAAATCCATCTCCTATGGCAATTACAGAGGTGGCAAATCAAAAACTCCTTTACAAAAAATAAGTTTTTTAATGATGGCAAACTATACCCAGAATGAATCAAGATATTATATTGGATAGTAATTTTTTTCAAGTTATAGCAAAACACAAATTCACAAAATGATCTACTGCTAAGTGTTGAGTTGTTCTGCTTTTGTTGGGCACTTTGAGAAAGATTCCTATGACACTATTGCTGTATGTTCTGACCTTACTGTGTATCTGAATTCATTAAACAGGATAATGTGTTAGAGGCATCTCGCTCCATGTCTGGCCTCTGTCGTATTTTCAGTACCTATCAGCCATACTATTAATTACACACTTCTTGGCGGGTTTCTAGAGTGCTTAGCTGTCTTGAACCATCTGTATAATTTCTGAACAAATGTGCACTGATGTCACTGGGGTTGCTGTCGCTGCTACTGCTAACATAGATATTTAATCTTTAAATCCGGCCTCTGTTCAATCTAATTCTGACAGCAGGAAGAGTAGTATTTCAAAAGGTGGTTAAAGATAATAGCCCCATTCTCAACTTTCTCATCATTAGGCTCAAAGAAACCACTTTAGACCCTCAGGTTGGCAAATGAAAACAGAGAGAAGAAAGAAAAAGAGGAAAAAGAACACCATCCGATTTGAAACAGAAAACTTGTAACCTTCACATACAACAGAAAGGATTGTTTGGGTGGCATTTTTGTCTCTCCTGCCCGAGCATCACACATCAACAGGCCGGTGGTTCCTGAGTTCCTAAGGACAGCGCCAGACTGGTCCACTGCTGCCAACCCCATCAGCCACACCTGCCACCGGATCAGACGGTAGAGAGGGGAGCTCTGCTGTATTGTTACAAGGCAGGTCACAGCCACACATTTGCAGCACCTGTCTCCTGCCACCATGAACTGCATGAACTTGCTCCCAGATCAAGCTTGAATGCAACAGACTCTTGATCACTGGGCAGAGGAGCTTGCTACGGTAGCCCAGATGAAGGGGTGCACACTTTGAGACCCCATTTGCTGACAGGCAAATGCTGACCAACTTATTAACAGGGAGCAAGCAAATCCCACTACGCCCTCCAACTCCAATCCTGGGGTCTGCAATGGATTTGCAGTCCTAGTTTATACAAAGCCACTCGCTCGACCAACCCATTTTTAGTTGATTATGTGGTGGAAAGCATCTGATAAACTCATTTAAACTAAAGCCCAGAAGAATGAAAACAGTTTCAGTGTCACCCTTCCAGGGGAGATCCGAAGCTTAACTTGAGTCAGTCTAACTCCTTACTAACCGCCGTCAAGTTTCAATTTAGCCAACCTAGTGGCAGAGATAGGGAGAACACAGTTGAGACTCAATCTAGGAGGTGGGGATTCTTTTTTTTTTTTTTTTAATTTATAGAGAAAAAAGAAAGGACATTTAAAAAAAAGCAGTAAAAGGGTACAAATAATACAGAATTTCAAGAAAAAAAATATACAGTAAGAAATCATTACTTAATAGGTTACATATTGTCTTCTTAAAAACAGTTGTCCAAATTATAAAATTAAAGCATATAAAGTGGACATTCGTACAGTGATATTGGAGACAGTTCCATTCAATGATCCAACAAAAGCTCAGTAATATGGTTTTCCATCCTACACACTCAAACATACCTGCGGTTATATCCCTTAGTCCACCTTCCTTTCCTCTCTTTTTTACAATAACAATTACACTTTTTGGGTTTTATTACTCCCACAGTTCTTATTACTTTTTTTGAAGAGAATAAAACCAAACGTGACTAAGCAAAACAGAGTCAGTTAGAACAGAAGGATGGACATAGTACATGGTGCAAAAATAGAGGTGGGGATTCTTGAAGTCACAGAGCAGGAGATGGCCAGGGAATGGATCGAGGGTCCCTGGAATCATTGTCTCCTCCCTGGGCAGCTGTAAAATCATCCTGAAGCCTGTTCCCACCCCACTGGTTTTAACTGGTGGTGAGGCTGGGTAGGAGTTGTTTTCTAAAAGCTTCCACAGTAAGTTTGAGGATCCTCTGGGGATGTTGCTCCAATGTGCACCAGAAGATCAGGGGTGGTCTGAGATTCTGCCTTTCTAGCATACTCCAGGGCAAATTCAAGGTTGCGGGGGGGGGGGCAGGTTCCGTACAACACACTCTAGGCCCCTCTTAATCCTCCTAGGCCCCTGAGAAACCTCAGGCAAGCTGACCTCACCCCTGTGCAGCTACAGCTTCCCCTCTGGGACAGAAACATTCCTTCCCCAGGAGGGTCCCAAAGATTTGTCCAGTGGACTCTGTAGTATCAGCTGGGGCGGGGACACTGCTCACAGCTCAGGAGACATTGGACCCCCTCCAGTTCTGCACAACTTCAAGGCAATCAGACCCAGGCCTGAAATGCCCCTCTGAAGGGCTCTACACTAAACAGAATGTTTGCTTGGGTGTTGTTCAACCTGCAGGGTGTCTCTTCCCTTGGTTTTCTGTATTGGCATGGTAACCAGGACCTCCTGGGGAGCCTGGCCACCCCATGGGTCCTAACTCTTTTCCCCTGGCACATTGGATGGCCTCTGTCCTCAGGCGCCCTGCTGTGCTGCAAATACCTACCCACCAGATAAGTGCTCTTCTATGTTTACTGGGAAGTGGGCAGCATCAGGCCAGTAGCAGGCCACCATGCCCACCACCAGACCTCTGAGGTAGGTAGGAGCTTTCAGCTGGTGCCTTCATCCTGCCCCCAAGACCCTTTCCCTCCGCCTTGTATCCCCACCTCTGTAAGATCCTTCCCGACACAGAGGCCTAAACCCTGCACCACCCAATGATTCCAGCCCAGTTGGGATAACCACCCCAAAGAGCCCTTCACTGAAGACAGAAGGAGCCCTGACACAAAAGCCTTGCAGGTGAAATACAGAAGAGGTCACCCTAGAATAAGGCTATTTCCACAAGCCTCCTGTCTTCTCCAAAAGGTGTGCCAGGACCTCAGTAAGCTATGCTGACTCAGAAGGTCCCAAGCAGGAAGACCAGGGTGGAGAAGGACAAATATGTAAATAGTCTATGGGCTTCGACACTTAATAGGAACCCTTACAGAGAGCCTTCTCTGTGGTCAGAGTAAGGGCTGTAGTTTAGGGAAATTAAAGGCCAACATGTCCAGCGGTCACTGATATAATGAAGGATCTATGGCAGTGATCTCATTAATAAGAACAAATGCCTACAACATTAACATCTTGATAATAATGAATCTAGTCATCCTTACACCATTGCTGTCACACATGTCATTTTTCTTTAACAGCAAGAGCCCTGTGAAGACAGAAGGAACTAATGTCATGAACATCACCATCTGGTCCTGGTGATGACTGCTTCCTGCCAGTCTCCCCACTTGGTAGTTTTTACTGAGATCCCTTGTTCAATGCCTCATTGCTGACATTGTAGATCTTTCTAGAAGGCCTCACCACATCCAAGGGAGCAGCCCCCCACTGCAGGCCAGGTCACTTGAGGCTCTCAGGTGACCCAGGGTGTTGCTGACTAGGCAGAGGCTGCTAGCCACCCACCCATGTGGCAGAAGAGCAGTTTGGCAGGGCGAGCATCAAAGCTGCAGCCCAAACACATGCACGCAGCCCTGTAGCCCAAACACCCAGCGCACATCACACCCAGGCCTATAAAAGATAATTATACAATCTGATCTGGCAAATTAGTGCTGCAGAACTGTCTAATTCTTACAATGAATTCGAGGGTTGGAATGGCAGGAAAAATTAACCTGAATCTTTATTGGGATTTGCCCTCAGGTCAGGATTAGGGTTCATTTATCTCTTTTATTTTCCTGCTGAGGGAAGATAGAAAGGCTTTCTCTTCTGCCTGCCCACCCCTCCCTACCCCATCCAGGCTTGGCGTTTAGACACATCAACTGCCTGGACACTTTTCCCACGCACTACGGACACCAGTTCAAATCATACAGCACCGGCAAGGAGGGAGGGAGGGAAGGGGGAAGATAGATAGACGATAGATGGATGAATGATTTTTCACAAGAATGAAAAGTTCAGGCCTCCCAAATCAAGGAATTCAGAGACACTAACTCAGTACAAGGTAAATGAACTGACATCCCCAGATTACAATTTACCTCCTAATTATTCTGGCTCACTGCTGAAATGTTTCCTCAGCTAACACTCACACATATACACCTTTCTCCTCCACCTGTCTCTCTCCCTCTCCCTCCCTCGTTTCCCCCTACCCCTTCTAAGGAATCTTCTCAGAGGAGATGGTCATTACAAGGAGTTGGGGCCTATCTGCTTAGCTTATTAAATAGTAGAATCATCCATGAATGGTGGTACACACCTGTAATCCCAGCACGGAAGGCTGAGGCAGGAGGACTGTGAGTTTCAGGCCAGCATGGGCCCCCAGGTCCATGTTGCATTCAAGGCTGACCCAGACTACACAGCAAGACCCTACCTCAAAAAGCCAAAAACAAACAACAGGTGGGCATGGAGGTACATGCCTGTAATCCCAGCACCCTGGGAGCCTGAGGCCAGAGGATCACAAATTCAAGCCTACTCTAGGTAACTCAGTGAGAACTTGTCTCAATAAAAAACAGACGAAAGGCTGGCGATGTAGCTCGGTGTAATTTCCTAGGTTAAACCCCGATACCATAACCACCCAACCAATCAATCAATAAAATAAAACAAAACAAAAACAACTGGGTCACAAAGAAGTGTTACTATAATGTCAATGCCAAGGCCAATGTACACCAAAGGAGGGTTTTCCTTTATCTAACAAAAGCAGACATTCTGACAGGCCTTGAAAGCTGGTTTTTTTTAAAGT